AAAATACTTTATCCAGTTAAGCACTTTTGTTTCTAACACAAAGTGCTGACTCTTGACAGATTCTCTGGCATACTGAAGGTCACCACTGCTGAACCTATCTGATCAGCCAAGAACAAGCTTATCACCAGGTACAGGTATCATTACATCATAAGGTGTAAAGGTTGTTCCGCAGCTCAGTCATCCACCAACAAACAGGTGTCTAAGAAACTGAGATTTCCCAGCTACCAAAACCCAGACAAAGAAATAAGCAACAGTTGGCCGGGCGGGGTGGCTCACGCCTGTAATCCCAGCACTCTGGGAGGCCGAGGCGGGTGTATCACAAGGTCAGGAGTTCGAGATCAGCCTGGCCAATATGGTGAAACCCTATCTCTACTAAAAATACAAAAATTAGCCACGCGTGGTAGTGCGCGCCTGTAGTCCCAGCTACTTGGGAGGCTGAGGCAGGAGAATTGCCTGAACCTGGGAAGCGGAGGTTGCAGTGAGCCAAAAGCATGCCACTACACTCCAGCCTGGGTGACAGAATGAGGCTCCATCTCAAAAAAAGAAAAAAAGAAAAAAGAAATAAGCAACAGCATGACATACACCAAGGCAGTTCAGAGAGAGGCAACATGAGGGAAAGCAGGGTAGAAATAGGAGAGGACAGTTCAGAAAAGTGTCCTGAGGAACTCCTCCCACTGGGTAAGCCAAGAGAAAGTTACCAGACCCAGGGCTCTCAGAAGCACATAAGCCATGCCTTGATGCTGCTCACCTGCATTTCCCATAATATGATTACCTGGCAAAATCTATATACTTAAAAATACATTGCCTTCTCATCCTTTCCTACCCTTATCTTTTTTTTTTTTTTTTTTTGAGACAGAGTCTCACTATGTTGCCCAGGCTGGAGTGCAGTGGTGCAATCTTGGCTCACTGCAACCTCTGCCTCCCGGGTTCAAGCGATTCTCCTGCCTCAGCCTCCTGAGTAGCTGGGACTAACTACAGGCACGCACCACCACGTCCAGCTAATTTTTGTATTTTTAGTAGAGATGGGGTTTCACCATGTTGGCCAGGATAGTCTCGATCTCCTGGCCTCGTGATCCACCCACCTGGGCCTCCCAAAGTGCTGGGATTACAGGCGTGAGCCACCACGCCCGGCCTTACCCTTAACCCTTATCTTTTAAAAAACCATCCACAATTTAGGGCAGAGCCGTTACAAAACATGTTTAGAGTCAGACTACAACAAAGAGACATAGTGTCTGCACAGCATTATTTTAATGCAAGAAAACAAAACTGCCAACTACAAGGATCTGAAAAATGTGACCACTTCAGGCTTATTTTGGAGCTGAACCACTCCCCTTCCCTAATTATCCCTCAAAGGAAATGTATCAGGCACTGTAGGCAAAGAGGGAAACATGTCTAATTACAACATGTGCACTTGGTGGATGAAGAATTTGAACATTCTTGAACTCTGGCCACATTTCAGAAGACTTTCCACTTGTAATTTAATTTCACTGAAAAGTTTAAGGATCAGTTGCACTTCAACCAGGGCTCTATCAAAAAAAGACACAAACAATACCCGACAACGATAGGCAACCAAAGCAAAAATGAACAAATGGGATCACATCAAGTTAAAAAGCTTCTGCACAGCAAAGGAAACTATCAACAAAATGAAGAGATAACCCAGTGAATGGCAGAAAATATTTACAAACTGTCTATCTGACAGGGGATTAATAACAAGAATATGTAAGAAGCTCAAACAACTCAATAGGAAAAAATCTAATAATCCACTTAAAAATGGACAAAAGATCTGAATACACATTTCTCAAAAGAAGATATACAAATGGCAAAAAAAGGTATATGAAAATGTGCTTAACATCATTGATCACCAGAGAAACGCAAATCAAAATTACAATGAGTGCTCACTTCGGCATCACATATACTAAAATTGGAAGGACACAGAGAAGATTAGCATGGCCCCTGTGCAACGATGACATGCAAATTCATGAAGCGCTTCATATTTTTAACAAATCTTTAAATGTTAAAAAAAAAATTATGAGATATCATTTTATCCCAGTTAAAATGGCTTATATCCAAAAGATAAGCAATAACGAACGCTGGTAAGGGCGTGGAGAGAAGGGAACCCTCATACACTGTTGGTAGGAACGTAAATCAATACAACCACTGTGGAGAACAGTACGGAGGTTCCTCAAAAACTAAAAATACAGCTAGCATATGATCCGGCATGCCCACTGCTAGGTATACACCCAAAAGAAAGGAAATCAGGGCCAGGCGTGGTGGCTTACGCCTACAATCCCAGCACTTTGGGAGGCTGAGGCAGAAGGATTGCTTGAGCCCAGGAGTTTGAGAGCAGCAGGAGTTTCCCCAGGCGGGCAAGACAGCAAGACATCACCTCTACTAAAAATTTTAAAATTAGCCAGGTGCTCTGGCATGCACCTGTAGTCCCAGCTACCTGGGAAAATCGCTTGAGTACAGGAGGTGGAGGCTACAGTGAGCTGTGACCATGCCACTGTACTTCAACCTAAGCAACAAAGCAAGATCCCGTCTCTAAAAAAGGAAGGAAGAAACAAAGAAAGGAAATCAGTATATGGAAGAGAAATCTGCACTCCCATGTTTATTACAACACTATTCACCATAGCCAAGATTTGGAAGTAACCAAAGTGTCCATCATCAACAAATGAATAGATGAAGAAAATGTGGTACATATACACAAGGGAGTACTATTCAGCCATAAAAAAGAATAAGATCCTGTCATTTGCAACAATGAATAGAAATGGAGGTCATTATGTTAAGTGAACTACCTCAGGCAGAGAAAGACAAACTTTGCATGTCCTCACTTATTTGTGGGAGCTAAAAATTAAAACAATTGAACTCATGGAGATAGCAGAAGATGGTTACCAAATGCTAGGAAGGGGAAAGTGGGGATGTTTAATGGGTACAAAAAAAACAGTTAGAATAAGATCTAGTAAGTGACAGCACAACAGGGTGACTACAGTCAACAATAATTTATTTTATATTTTATAATAACTTAAAGAGTATAATTGGATAGTGTGTAACACAAAGGAAGGATAAATGCTTGCAGTGATGGATACTCCATTCATGCATTATATGCCTGTATCCAAAGATTTCTTTTCTTTTTTTTTTTTTGAGATGGAGTCTTACTCTGTCGCCCAAGCTGTAGTGCAGTGGTGTGATCTCAGCTCACTGCAGCCTCCGCCTCCTGCGTTCAAGCGATTCTCCTGCCTCAGCCTCCCAAGTAACTGGGATTACAGGTGTGCACCACCACGTCTGGCTAATTTCGGGGTTTCACCATGTTGGCCAGGCTGGTCTCGAACTTCTGACCTCAGGTGATCCACACACCTCAGCCACCCAAAGTGCTGGGATTACAGGTGTCAGCCACCACGCCCAGCCCAAATATTTCATGTATTCCATTAAATATATACACCTACTATACCCACAAAAAATTTTTTAAATTTTAAATGTTTTAAAAAGACACAGAGAGAAACTGACCATACTATTTACATGTGATACTACAAGGGAAGTCTGTTGAAACTGTAAGACGACCCTGACTCCACGTCAAGTGCTAACAGAGGAAATGGTTTGTATTTTACAACTAGGACTAAAAATAAGACCAATTTTAAGAGCACTCTCCCCTGGAGAAAACACACATATCTTGAATTTAAAGATACATATGCAAATGCCTCAGGCCCCAGGTGGTCTTACAGAAGCAGTCCCTGATCAGATCTCTCATCCACAGCCCATGTGCTTCTGCATTACAGAGGTGGGAAGACATCTGCAACAAATTTGGCGGTGATTCTGCACTTCTGCTGGAGAGAAGAGCAGAAAAAAACCTTCACAGATCCAAAATGAGAAGGCATCTCATTAGGCATCTGGATTAAGAACTATTACTCAAGATGCCCTGAGCAAGGCCTACAAGTTCTGATCTCTCTAACCTCCTCTCCTAGGACTGTCTCCCTTGTCCATGGGCCTCTGCCATGCTGGCTTCCTTGACGCTCCGCTAACCCTTCAGACACACTCCCACCTCACAACCTTCCCGGGGGCTGTTCTCTCTACCTGGATGACTCTTCTCTCAGACCCCTCACATCTTCAAGTCTCGGCTCAAATGCCACCTTTGCGCGGAGGAAAAAGATTTCTTTCTTTTATCACGATATTTATCGCCTCCTACTACACAGTATAATTTACTTAAATATCTACAATTTACCCTGTTTCTCCTCTCCCCCTCAAATAAGTTCCAGGAGAGCAGAGATCTCTGTCTTGTTCACTGATGTCTATCACAAGCACTTAGTGCCTGACACATAGTAGGAGCTCAAGAAGTATTATCTGAATGAATGAACAAACTTCTTGACCTGAAGATTCAGAACAGTAAGAAGTGGGTGGAAAGGATGATGGTGAGGGGATGAGGAGAAAGAAGCGACATCGGAGAATTCCCAAGCGAGAGACAGAGACTGGCCGAGGCCAGGCCGACCCCCGTTTCTCCTCGCAGAGCTGACGGGAGGCGGACGTAGGTGCAAGACATCCCGCCAGCGGCACCCGAGGCACTCAGAGGCCGGCAGCGGAGGCCGGCGGGCTCCGGGCTCACTGAGAAAGTCCAGAGGCAGGACGGACCCACGCGGGCTCCGAGCAGGCCCCGTTAGGGGCTCCGACCCCCGGCCCTACCCCTCCCAGCAATGCCCACAACCCCAGGTCCTGGCCAGAATCCCCAGGGGCGTTCCGGGCCGCAATCCCTTCTCGGCTCGGGCCCCTCCACCAGCCTCCAGCGGCCGGGCCCTGCGCTCGGGCACCTGCCTGCCTGCGCCAGGGTCCCCACTCTGGCCCGCGTGGAGGCCCCAGCGCGCCCCTGCGGCCTCAGCCCGCCTGGCTGCCCCATCGCCCGGCACAAGGGCAGGAAGCGCTCCGCGGCACTCCCCGCGGCAGGGAAGGGGCTCCCGGCGCCCCTCTCCCGGGCCGCCCCTGCCCCACGCCCCGCCTGCGCGGCGCCCCCTCACCTCAGGGCGTACGTACGACACGAAGGAGGGCTTGGGGGCCTTGGTGCCGCCGCCACCGCCGACTACTCCTTTCCCCAGCATACCGCCGCCCTGGGAAGCAGCGCCGCGCGGACGCAGAGGTGGCGGCTCGGGCTCCAGCTGGGGCAGCAGCGGCGGCCACCAGCACTAGCGGCTGGGGCTCCGCCCATCCCCAGGGCCGCGACCGCCGCGGTGCCGCCCGCATCCGGCTCCGCCGCTGACACCGCTCGCCCCGCCCAGGCCCGTGGGCCCCGCCCACCCCGCGCTTTGGCCCACAGAGCCAGGAGACCGCTACTGGAGGCCACGCCCACCCTCCCGCAGGAGGGTCTGACCCGCCGAGATTCACCACCTTCCTGCGGCAAAGCCCGCCCTCATGCTTTCTCTGACTGGCCAGAGGCGTTGCCGGCCGAACTCCCGCGCCCAACCCCTTCTTGAGTGAGTTTGGAGAGATGTTTCCTTTAACCAATCCAGAGAGGTTTCTCTCCGGACTTTCCGACGATTGGGTGGCGAGGATATAACCGTCGTCCAATGATCGTGCAGTCACCAAGTTGTCATTAGCAGTGGTTCACGGCAGTCGTTTTCTTCCTCTTGCTTGTGTCTTTGGAATAAAACGTCAAAAAATGGGTTGTGTGGAATCTTGCTATAGGAGTTCCCAACTTACATCGATGACGTTCAAGGTTTTTTATTTTATTTTATTATTATTTACTTTTGAGACGGAGTTTTGCTCTTGTCGCCTAGGCTGGAGTGCAATGGCGCGATCTCGGCTCATTGCAACCTCCGCCTTCCAGGTTCAAGCGATTCTCTTGCCTCAGCCTCCCGGGTAGCTGGGATTACAGGCTCCCGCCACTACATCCAGCTAATTTTTTTCTTTCTTTGGTCGTTCTGTCGCCTAGGTCGGAGTGCAATGGCGTAGTATAGGCTCGCTGCAACCTCCGCCTTCCGGGTTCAAGCGATTCTCCTGCCTCAGCCTCCCGAGTAGCTGGGATTATAGGCGCCTATAATCACACCCGGCTAATTTTTGTATTTTTAGTAGAGACGGGGTTTCACCATGTTTGCCAGGCTGGTCTCAAACCCCTAACCTCGTGATCCGCCCGTCTCGGCCTCCCAAAGTGTTAATACTAGAGACGTGAGCCACCGCGCCTGGCTGCTAATTTTTGTATTTTTAATAGAGACGGGCGTTTCACCATGTTGGCCAGGCTGGTCTCAAACTCCTGACTTCAGATGATCCACCCGCTTTGGCCTCCCGAAGGGCTGAAATTACAGGCGTGAGCCACCGCGCCCGACCTCAAGGTTTATTATTTTAAATGTAAACAAAAATGAGGCCGGGCGCGGTGGCTCAAGTCTGTAACCCCAGCACTTTGGGAGGCCGAGGCGGGCGGATCACGAGGTCAGGAGATCGAGACCATCCTGGCTAACCCGGTGAAACCCAGTCTCTACTAAAAAATACAAAAAACTAGCCGGGCGAGGTGGCAGGCGCCTGTAGTCCCAGCTGCTCGGGAGGCTGAGGTAGGAGAATGGCATAAACCCAGGAGACGGAGCTTGCAGTGAGCTGAGATCCGGCCACTGCACTCCAGCCTAGGCGACAGAGCAAGACTCCGTCTCAAAAAAAATTAAAAAAAAAATAAATAAATAAATAAAAAATTAAATGTAAACAAAAATGAGACAAATGGTGACTCACGCTTCTAATCCCAGCACTTTGGGAGGCCGAGGCGGGTGGATTTCTTGATCTTAAAAAACCCTCATTTTTTAGTCAAGATTGTAAAGAAAATTCATTTCAGTTCTACATTTGGTGCCAAGCGTTGTTGGTTGCAGATAAATAAGATAGAATCCAGCTCTTAAGAAATTCAATCTAGTGGAAAAAAATTGATAAAAATTTGCAGTTAATTTTTTAGGTGTCAGGCACTGTGCTAAGTACTCTCATTGGTGACCTTGATTTTTACCCTCTTAATCTCCATGTGCTCCCCCTTCCCAAATACACTTCAAATAAATATAAAATCTTAGTGAAAACAAATGTGCCTTCTTTTGCAAACATAGTTTCAACACAAGTCCTGCAGCTCCCTTTCCAGCTAGATTGCCACTTGTAAGCCTATTTGGTATAACTGTGCTGCAGCCGCCACTGAGTTTCCTTATCCCTGTTTCCAGGTGACAAAACAGAGATGCAAGTAATTTGCCCAGGTCTCACAACTAGTCACCGAGAGAGCTGGGATTTCAACCCAGGTTTGTCTCATTCGAAATCCCAAGTTCTTAACATTATAATTACACAAATTAGAAAGGAGCACAATGAAAGTGTGGTCAATTCTATTTGGGAAGACCAAGTTGAAGCCATCCTTACAAAGTTGAGAATTCTGCACGGAAATAGAATTGTAAGTAAGCGTTAGTCAGGCTGCAGTTTGGCCTGCTTCTTCGTATTGATAATTCGACTTCAGGTAACAGTAGGTACTGATCATTTGCATGCCTATTGTTTCAATAGGTAGGATTTCTGGCTCTGGAATCATAAGAGTTTTGTTTAAGAATTGCTTAGGCAGATCCTAAGTTCCAGCAGAATAGTCGACATCAACCAGTTTAAAGACCGCCCCCACCCCAACACACACACACACACACACACACACACACACACGAACCGAAGCAGTGTGAGAATACAATTTCTTCATCTCTCTGTCTCATGACTTCGCCCTTCACTTTTCAACCAATCAATGATCTCCACACTTTGGTCCACTTCAAAACCCTTAAATACCCTAGCGCCAGGCAGGGTGCAGTAGCTCACACCTGTCATCTCAGCACTTTCAAAGGCCAAAGTAGGAGGCTCACTTGCGTTCAGGAGTTCAAGACCAGCCCAGACAACATAGTGAGGCCCTGTCTCTACGAAACATTAAAAAATTAGTTGGGCATGGTGGTGCAAGCCTGTAGTCCAAGGTACTCAGGAGGTTGAGGTGGAAAGATTGCTTGACCCCAGGAGTTAGAGGTTACAGTGAGCTGATATGTCACTGCACTCCAGCCTAGGTGACAAAGCAATATCCTGTCACAAAAAAAAAAGTAGCCCCAAACTCCTTGACTCTTCAGAGAGATGAATTTGAGGTTTCCTCCTGTCTCTTCATCCAGCAACCCTACAATTAAACCTCTTTCACTGCTGTAACTTGGTGTCTTGGTGTATTGACTTGTCCAGTGCATTGGGCAACAAACCTATTATGGTTACAAAGTAAGGCTTCATAAAAAAAGATATTCCTCATGGGAGTGTTAAAGAATACATTTCATTGTCAAGACTAATATCACTACATTTTGCAGCAGTCTTCACTTTTTGAAGTAGAATGGCAGGGCAGATTTTTAGACACTGAGCAAATGTTTCCTTTCTCACTTTTCAAAGTATTTTGAATTTCCATGACCTTTCACCATAGTTGTTAGTAAATGTGACTATGTCCAAGGCTGGCTTCTTTGGACATGAAACTAGTGCAGTCACACAGAATCTCACACTTAAGAAGGCTCAGAGGCCGAGTGCAGTGGGATCACACCTGCAATCTCAGCACTTTCAGAATTCAAGGCAGGCAGATCACTTGAGTCCAGGAGTTTGAAGCCAGACTGGGCACCATAGGGAGACTCGGTCTCTACAAAAAAAAACAAAGAATTAGCCTGGCATGGTGGTATGCATCTGTAGTCCCAGTCTCAGCTACTTGGGTGGCTGAGGTGGGAGGATCACTTGAGCTCTGGAGGCAGCAGTGAGCCATGATTACACCACTCACTCCAGCCTGGGTGACAGAGCAAGACCCTGTCTCAAAAAAAAAAAGGAGGGGGGGCTTGGAGTTTAATCCTTTATAGTTTTGGCTTGAGATTCTTTTTTTTTTTTTTCCTGGTGGGTGGGGGACAGAGTCTCACTCTGTTGCCCAGGCTGGAGTGCAGTGGCGTGGTCTCAGCTCACTGCAACCTCTGCCGCCTGGGTTCAAGTGATTCTCCTGCCTCAGCTTCCTGAGTAGCTGGGATTACAGGCGCCTGCTACCATGCCCAGCTAATTTTTTAGTAGAGACGGGGTTGCACCATCTTGGCCAGGCTGATCTTGAACCCCTGACCTCGTGATCCACCCACCTTGGCCTCCCAAAGCGCTGAGATTTCAGGCGTGAGCCACTGTGCCTGGCCGGACTTGAGCTTCTTAGTAATTTTATCTTTGAGTGTGTGTTTTAAGTGAAGATTAATGGTTGATGAGCAATGGAGCACACACAACGGGTCTTGGCGCCTCAGCTCATGCACAGCCCCACCTCCCGCCCCTCCTCCCTCCTGTTGGGTGCCTGCTACCCCATTGCACTGTGGCTCTCCCTAGCCAACTCCACAACTGCTGCCCACTTCTACCCAGGGCAGCAAACGGGTCTCATTGCCCAGGAGTGTGGGCGGGTGGAGTCTCCTGTCCCGCCGTCACCATCCATCCTCCCAGTAGGTGCCTGGGCACCGTTTCGCAGAGGATCAGGGTGAGGCATAGCTCCCCGACCCTCTCTGGTATCTCCGGGTTAAGGTGGCAGCTATCCCTGCCCTAGATTGGCAGTGCCTCAGCGACTGGCAGGGCCTTCCGCCCACCCCCATCCAGGTACCAAATATGGCCTGGGTAGCAGAAGCAACCATCCCTTAGGGGTCACCCATCCAGTAGGAGAAGGAGAGTTGACTTCCCCACTCCCTGGCCAGAGCGCCACATTGTCATTTTGTGCTTGGCCCTGAAAATGATGCAGCCAGTGCAGCCTGTTCTCTGTCTTATCTCTATGTCCTTGGGTAAAGTACTTCCTCTGTCTGTGCCTCTATTTCCTCACCTTAAAATGAGGGTGACAACAACAATAATAACTACTTCATGGCCGGGCGCGGTGGCTCAAGCCTGTAATCCCAGCACTTTGGGAGGCCGAGACAGGTGGATCACGAGGTCAGGAGATCGAGACCATCCTGGCTAACACGGTGAAACCCCGTCTCTAGTAAAAAATACAAAAAACTAGCCGGGCGAGGTGGCAGACGCCTGTAGTCCCAGCTACTCGGGAGGCTGAGGCAGGAGAATGGCGTGAACCCGGGAGGCGGAGCTTGCAGTGAGCTGAGATCCGGCCACTGCACTCCAGCCTGGGTGACAGAGCGAGACTCCGTCTCAAAAAAAAAAAATAATAATAATAATAACTACTTCACGGTGGTTAGGGGACTGTATTAGTCAGGTTCTCTAGAGGGACAGAACTAATGCAATATATATAAATATATACATATATATAAAGAGCAGTTTA